ACGGTGGGAGTACAAGTGAAGTTCTACGGACCATTAATTATGGTCGACGGAGTGTCGGCAGGAGATCATACATGGCACATGAATTGGTTTTGGAGCCACATGTATCCTTATTATGTGATATTACTTTTCTGCTTTTGCTTTACTCTTACTGTGTAACTGTTGTTACGTGAAATTTACGCTTTTACCCCTGTTTACTTACTAAGCATATAACTTACCCCTTTCCTTTTGTTTTCCTTAGCAGGGGCCGACGCGGGGACTTTTAGCACATACACTAGTATAGTTAGGTTTGATTGTAATAATCGAACAGTTAGTATGTTTGTTTTTGTTTTTGTGGTTTGTATAAGGACACTCCTTAGGGTCTATCTTCTGCTGGTTGTGGTTATAGTGTATTAGAGTGGTTTGACTCGAGACTTTTGAATATGTAAATATAACTTTTGGTGGTTATATATATTATAAACAGTTCTCTTTTGGTTTAATATAGTTTTATTAGTTTTGTGCTTCGAGTCCTGGCGCGAGTTAGGCAGGCGTCCCGCCGATACCCTAGGGTTCACCCTTGGGAGAAGCGGGGTCATCACACTTTTGTTCCATTAACTGGAGTTAATCATCATTACCAGTCAATTTTGTTTGGGGGTGCTCCGCTTTGGGATGAAACCGAAGAATCGTTTGTTTGGTAACAAATGCTGTTAGAGGCCTATCCCCTTTTGAAATTCTCCTTTTTAAAAAAAATTAACTAAAGTTTCAAAAAATTGAATTTCGAGGTTTCAAGCTTAGGGAGGCAGGAAAAATTGGTTGAGCCTCTATACACAAGGTTGAGAATAATGCAAATCCTACTAACTAAACTAGGGTGAAGGGGAAGAAATAGATAATGCAATGAATGGAACCTTGGAATCCTTTCAAAGCTCTAGTAACTTTTCTTGCTCAAGCCTCGCAATGCATGTCAACCTTGAGAACAATCTCCTGAACCTCTTCTTCCTTCTTTTCTTCTTTCTTGTCTCATTCTTCTTCTTTTTTACTAGTGTCTTCTTTGTTTCCCAGTATTTGTTTCTTTTCCTCCTCCTTGTTCACTTTCTCTTTCTTCTCCTACAGCATACCATGAATGAGATCAATGAGAAAATGATAGCAAAACTTATAGTAGTTACTGGGATTTCCTTCCATTCATTCGAGGGAGCAATAAGAATAATCATGTGCAAGGATACTTGGAAGTAGAAAACTAAAAACTTACTTCGCCTATATCATCTAACTCTGACAAGCCCATCTTCCAAGCTAATACTACTAATCAGTGGTATATATATGGGCAAAAAATCTCAGCGGCCACTAAACTATTGGTCAGTTCATGTTTTGACTATCAAATTATTTTTTGTTAGTAATTGGCCACTAAACAACTTAATCAGTAAATCCATGGCCATTTAGTCGATAATTGCTTTTTTGATGACAACTGTAACTATTTTAACTGCGGCTGGATAAATATACTGGACCATAGCTTCGACATTGCACGTTATGGGAAAGATTGTAAGTTGCTGTTCAAATGTTTTGACGACATTTTCAAACTAAGCTAGGCGCAAAATGTTAAACAGAAAAACAGACGTACAGGTGCAGGAAGAAACAATTAACGCAGCACATTTCCTCGTCATTCCAAGAGAGATCGAACAATGGTATACGTCTAAAAGCGAGTAGTAATAAATATTTTGCAAGAGGCAAAAAAAAAAAGGTAGCAAAAAAGAAAATAGAAAAGTGGGGGGAAGAAGGATAAATTTTGGCAAAGAACCCAATAGACAAAGAGTAACCCACGTCCCGAAGTGGGGCGATTTTTTTTTTTGAAAGCTTTGCATACACTAACATATCATATATAGTGATGAAGACGGTATATTTGTCACAGAGAAAGAAGCGGCCACCACAATTTAAAGGATGGGGCTGTAACATTTGACAAAGACGGCAGCCCACTGCAAATGTGGTCCAAGTTCCATGGATCTCAAATGGTTGAGGAATTCTTCGATACTATCACCAACAACATGTTGGTACATGACACATTATTATTATTATTATGATTTCAAACCGTACCTAGTACATATATATATATTTGGATGAAGAAAGACAGACAATTCATATTCATGTCCAAAGGCATTTTGCCTGCTGCCTGGCTCTGCAGTCAGTCTCATGGGCCTCTCTGTGTAGTTTCAAGAGTGAGCCCATAGAATTGCTACGAACAGATCTGGGTTTCAAGATGGGCCGCCGTTCCTTCCCTTGCCATTCCTTCTTCAATTCCTCCAGCGTACACGATCCACTCAACAGGTCAAGTGACGATTATTCGTCATTCAATTCCAGGGAACATGATCCAGTCAAGTGACTTCGAATTCGTTATTCAATTCCCAGGGTACGAACAGGTCCATTCAAGTGACGATCGATCATTCGTTAGCTGGCAAAATGACGGACTGACAATAATGACTTTGAGCTGCTTTACGTCAATTTAACTTTTTTCTTTAGTTGTTTACTTTTTTTTCCCTTTTTTTTTTCGGAAACGTTAACCATGTATTGATCATAATAAGAAACTTTACAACAAAAGTTGGGCAAAGGCTCCAGCGGAAGCTTTACAACAAAAGTTGGGCATATGCTCGCACTTACATGAACGCTAAGACTTCTATGCCACAAAATTCATCCAACAAAGTCATCATGTCTGTGTTAAACCCCCAATATAATAATGAAACTGGTAATAAATAGTTAGTGGCTTTACCGTTGTTAAGATGGAATTCGCGTGTTGATATTTTTATTTTTTTTTTAAAAATAAAGTTCAATAGATAAACACAAGATAAGACAATAATAATAATTATCAATATGTACGCTTACGCAAAAGGTTTATTAGAAGATGTGATTTAAATGTCGTAATGATTGTCCAACGAGCTAGCTAGTACTACTCATTATTAGAAAAAAAAAATTCATAGTTAATTGCAAAGGGCATAGGATAATGAACTTCTTGATAATAACAAGATAACGACATTTTTGGCCTGGTCTTTTAATTGACGGGATTGATTGATGGCTCTGTACAGTGGTATTACCAATACATGCTAACAAGTTTGGTACGTGTCTACATGAAAACTGTCGGTGTGTATTTAAAATAAGAATTAATATTTTCTTTTTCTTTTTCAAATGTGTTGTTGACAGTCTACTTAACAAATATGCGGTCACTTGCACGAGAGAGAGAGAGAGAGGAAGGGGACAATTAACATTGGAGGAGTCACTAATCAGTCGAAGCATGGATTGATGCCACGCCCAAAAAACCAAAAAAAAAAAAAAAAATTGTGATAGCACCATGTGTAGTGTAAAATGGCTGGCCCATGTGGAGGGAAGGTGCATCATGTGCTTGGATAAGCTCTCTCGCTCATAATTTCCGTCAGCACATCAATCAAACAAAATACTCACTGATAACCACCTCACCTTGAATTCAGATGCTGCGTTGCATCTTAAAGCTGATAGAGCTGGGTGGGGAATGGTGGCCAGGGATTGGTTGGGAAGATTGAAGGTTGGATAAGGGTGGAGTTTGAAGTGGACTGTAGTCAAGTAGTGAAAGCAGTGTGCAGTGAGGAGGAGGACGTAGTGATAGCAACAATTGTACATGACATCAGGATACTTAGGTTAAAATTTGATGAATGTTGTTTTAACTTTACAAATAGCTAAAGTAGCTATTGCTTTGGGACAAAATACTGAATGGAAGGAAAACTTCCCAGTTTGGCTGCTGGAACTTGATTGTAAGGGCAGTTGCCCACCTATACTGTACTTGGTTTTGTGGGAATTGGGAATACCTGAATGATGGGCATGGGAGTGCGTTATCTCACTGAAATCACCTCCGAAAAGCTTTTCCACCGTAACACTAAGGATAGAATATTTGTCTCCGTCCAATGTATAGATTGTTATCCTTCAATGGATTAATCTTTCAAGTCCCTGCTGCATCAATGGTCCATTTTTGGCTAAAATAAAAAAAATGCAATCGACAATCTTAACTTAAAAAATTCTTAAGCTGCGAAAAAAAATAAAAAAATAAATCAGACAACCTTTAAGTCGATATTGTGACTTGCGGCGACCCTTATGATAGACAAACTCCCTACAAAACACTACTTTTGTGATAATTTTTTATTTTAACATTATTCCAAAAAATTTGCCCAATTTTTACCCAAATTATCCAAATTTTATTGCAAATTGGATAAATTGGATAATTGATTTTAACATTATTCCGAGAATAATGTAGGTAAATTAAATTTTAGTCTTCCATGGTTTGGGTTTACATATTTCAGGTTTTAGTGCTAGGGTTTAAGGATTAGGATTCTAGAGTTAGGGTTAGGATTTTACAAAAATAAATAAATAAATAAAGGAATCGCCACACATGAGCTTTGCGGTGATTCTTTTTTAATATAATATTTTTCGCCACACATGCTTTTGCAAAAAAAAAAAAAAAAAAAAAAAAAAACCGCTCCATTAACTTCGTTGGCAAAAAAAAAAGAAAATTAAAACAATTTTTTTATGAAACCCAACTTCCTATTTGCGGCGACCCTTTAGGTAAAAACCATTCAACTAACACCACTTTTATGATAATTTTTGGTTTTAACATTATTTCGAGAAATTCGCTGCACTGGCTGTGCATAGCATAGCCCACCCCTATTAGTACTACTACAAAGTAGACAAAAAAAATTTTTACGGCAATGATAGCATTTTTATAACATAATCTGTCATAATCTATATGGAGGGGAGTATAAAGAGACTGTGTATAAGGGGTTAGAAAGTATAAGAATATGACTAGACCAAAAGGGTACTCTGATACCTCATTTGAATTTTTTTCACTGCAAGTGGGGTTCGAACCTCCAACTTACGGTCCAAAAAGAGACTTAATTCCTTTTTTTTTTCACTACAGACCATCTTTTTTTTTTTTTTTTTTTTTTGAGGAGGAGAAAGTAGTCTTGATGATGGCATCAAAATTCAACGCCCCTTCCATTTCATTTCCACCCTACTTCCATGCTAGTACTGCAAGCTGCCCGGTTGCTATCTTTCTATATAAAGTCCTCGCACCTTTTCTAACTAAATGGCTCCTACTATCTAATTTAACCATTTATTAGCATCAGTTGAGTATATTGCTGCCTACATCCCTTCCCCCAATCACACACACACACCCCGCGGGAAAAAGAAAAAAGTGAAAAAAACTTCCATCCCTTCCCCCAATCACACACACACACCCCGCGGGAAAAAGAAAAAAGTGAAAAAAACTTCCATTTCCAACATTTATCATTTGGGCTGTTGATCAGATCCACCGATCGCCCCGTTGACTCTTTCCTTAATCAACCATGACTGAGAAGGTAAGCCAATTCTCTTGCTAGCTTTCCCAACCATCCCTCAAATGTTCGTGATATATTATTGTTTTGCATCTTTTTTATTATTTTTATTAATTTTCCTCTTTTAGTGTTTGCTTAATCTGAAATTTTTAATTGCAAGTCTAAGACAGCACATACAACGTGGGATATGCTTCTTTTTATGTCAAGATCTTTAGCCACATCTCTCAGCGTAATAGTAGTAGTACCGTATGATTGTGCATCTTAATTTTACATTTCTTGATTGTTATATATATATATATATATATATATTCAGTGACGGAGCTAGGATTTTTTTTTTTAAGAGATCAAAATTTTTCATAACAAAATTATCTTAATATATTATGTTCAAAATAATTTTCACGTACTCATATATAAACTCTCGTAACATAAATTAAAATTATAAAAAACTAGAAAGACGACCTTTAATTTTACATATATATTTATATACTATGAATTAAAATTTTCAAAATTTAAACAACCATGGCCCATCAGCCCCTTGGCTCCGTCATCATATATACACATGGATCGAGTTTGACTATTTTGCTCCGATAATATACATGCAACCTTACAGGTGACTACAATGAAACTCACGGTTGATCTTCATTGCCCCAGCTGCTACAAGAAGGTCAAGAAAATCCTCTGCAAATTTCCTCGTGAGTCTCTTATAACTATCAATTCTGTCTCTCATGTTTTCATTACCAGTATACCAGTAGTTCTTTAGTGCAATTACAGTTGGTCGGAGGACATCCACCGTTCCGCTGACTACGGACATAGGCATGTGCACCACCATGAGTTACAGTTTTTTTTTCCCACTTTTTGGGATCATTTTTTGAACAGAAGTTAGGTAGTGTGGCTTATGAAACTACTGGTGATCAGTTAGGGGCTTTATTTTGTACAGACAAGAATTTGAGTTTTTGTTTTTTTTTTTTGGGGACGCTCAATTTTTTGGACGAGAGAAATCCGAGACCAGGTATATGATGAGAAGCAAAATCTGGTGACCGTCACCGTGGTGTGCTGTAGCCCGGAGAAAATCCGCGACAAATTATGTTGCAAGGGTGGCAAAGTTATTACTAGCATTGAGATCGTGGAGCCCGGGGAGTCCCAGCGGCGGGAAAGCCCGAGCCGTGCTCTCACCCGCCAATTCCAGTGGTGATCTGCTGTGTCCTATGTTCGGAAGGGTACCGAGGGGGACGATGCTGCTGCAGGAACTGGCGGCCTGTGCCCCCGCACGCGTGCGGGTGCGGGTGCGGATCCCGGTATAGTCATTGTGATTATTTCAGTGAGCAGAACACTGCGGACTGTACGATTATGTGAGAGGAGAGGAGAGGAGAATTTGATATGGGGTATGATATGCTATGAAAAGCCCAAGCCGTGCTCGCACCCGCCAATTCCAGTGGTGGTCTGCTGTGTCCTATGTTCGGAAGGGCACGGAGGGGGGCCATGCTGCTGCAGGTGCCGGCGGCCTGAGCCCCCGCCACGCTGTTGTCGCAGTTGTGGACATGGGTGCGGGTGCGGGTGCCGGTATAGTCATTGTGATTATTTCAGTGAGGAGAACACTGCGGGCTGTACGATTTTGTGAGAGGAGAGGAGAATTTGATATGCTATGAAAAGCATCCAAATTAATCAATTAATTTGGTTTGGTGGGCGGTACATGCAAATGCATTGAAGCAAAATTAGTACTAGTATTGTGTAGTTAGGGCCTTAGGCCCTCATGGGACCTATAATATAAAAGGAAGAAGAAAATAAAAAGTTACTGTGTATGCGATTATGGAGTGTATATATATATATATATATAGACGTACGTGTGGGGATTTATTCAAGTTGGAAGTCACTTAGAATAAACTTTTGTATGTATCTGATGAATAAGTTTTCTTAAGTGTCAAGTAAACTTTTGTAAAGATGTTTGAGCCGTTGTCCAAATATTATCAATAAAAATTTTCTATCATTTGAAAAAGAAAAAAAATATCATTATTTATAATAATAATAATAGTAATGATATCATTAAAAGTGCATGCACTCTCTTCTTCTTCTTCGATCTTTATTGTTATTATTTTTTTGGATTTCATTTTCTTGCTTTGCTCTATAGTAGTAGTAGTAGTAGTAGTGGTAGTAAATTAATGTGCTAGCGTAGAGTTCTGGATATACATCTTCTTTCCTGTTTCTTCATTTCTTAAATCTCTCCATTTTTTGCCAGAAATAAAATTTAAAATAAAATTATATATATATATATATATAAGTAGCAATGTGCTAGCGTCACAGGAAGGAATGCAGAAAGGAGCTAGTAGTACTTAACAGTTGGGTAAAAGTAAAAAAAAAGGCATATGAATTTGCATGCCATCTCAAATGCTCGCGATGCATTCAGCGACCGCATGCAATAATAAATGTCAAAAGTTTGGTCAACAAAAGAACAACCAACGTTAGTTTGATCATCAATTCATGAATTCATCAACCAACAACCTTCCGGGGCACCATGGCACGGCAGTAAATGGAGTGTATTATATAGATATATAGTTGCAAAGCAAGACAAGACAAGAGACAGACTCACTCACAGTAACCTATTTTAGTTTGATTGATTAATTAATTTCGGATTGGTTTGGTTGTCTCTGTCTTCTGTAATAAATTGTCACTCAGAGCCGGCGTCGTCCTGTTGGATTGTTACAAAATAATTGAGGAGAAGAAATTGCGAACGTGGTGGGGTCAGTAATTCGTTGTCCTTCCAACTCCAAACCCTCCTTCAACATACTACTGTTACCGGTCATGAGAAAAAAATTCTTGCTTCAGTTTCTTGTATGACGTAGCAGAAATCTATAGGTCGAAACTCGAACGAACGTCCGACAAATGACCTAAGAAATGATTTTCCTGGTGCCCATTGGGCTATAGAACCCAATGGATGATAAGGCCTCACCTAAAACATTAGCTAGCTGAAAACACCACCATCTCCGGTCCTTGCACCCCACCGGCAGCCCAATGTAGGGAAAAAAAAATAAAGGAAGAAAACTCAAATGCTGCGGACTGCTCTGCTGAGTGACGACTGAGAAGGAAGGAAGGAGAGTAGAGAGAAGAATGGTGGCCGCCTCCTATTCGCCGTCTCATGTCTCTCGCGACCCTCACCTCTTCTGTAACTCTCTTTTTCCCACTCACCTCCACCAACTCAGAATCATCCCCCATAACGCCCTCGCTTTTCATCCTCTCAAGCCCCATCCAAAACCTTCCCTCTCTATACCGGCTTCCCAACAACAATCCCCCTCAATTTCCCACCGCCCAGATGCTAAAACCATCTCTTCTTCCTCAAAAATCTATATCTGGGTCAACCCCAACAGCTCCAGGGCATCAAAGCTCAGGCGCAATTCCTACGATTTCAGGTATGCTTCTTTAGTCCAAGCTTCCCAACAATTGGACTCGTGTGACCCTGTAGAAGCTGACGTTATTAGTATTTTGGCTAATTTGGGTGGCAAAGTTGTAGAACAAGATGCTGCAGTTGTGCTCAATAACATGTCCAACTCTGAAACTGCGCCTTTGGTGCTCAGATACTTTCTGGAAAGGCTTAAGTTGAAGAAAGAAGTGATTTTGTATAATGTTACCTTCAAGGTGTTTAGAAAATGTAGAGACTTGGACAGAGCCGAGAAATTGTTTACGGATATGATTGAGAGAGGAGTTAAGCCCGATAATGTCACCTTTTCCACCATAATTAGCTGCGCCAGGCTGTCTTCTTTACCTGAGAAAGCCGTCCAGTGGTTCGAAAAAATGCCGTCTTTTGGGTGTGAACCGGATGTGGTTACCTATTCTGTGATGATTGATGCGTACGGGAAGGCTGGGAATGTAAATATGGCTTTAACTTTGTATGACCGTGCTAGGACGGAAAAATGGCGAATTGATGCTGCGACCTTTTCGACTTTGATTAGGATTTATGGGACGGCCGGGAATTTTGATGGTTGCTTGAATGTTTACGAGGAAATGAAGGCTCTGGGAGTTAGGCCTAATTTGGTTGTCTATAATTCCTTGCTGGATGCGATGGGGAGGGCCAAGAGGCCCTGGCAGGCAAAGAACATATACAGAGACATGATCAACAATGGGTTTGAGCCCAGCTATGGGACGTATGCTGCCTTGCTTCGGGCCTATGCTAAGGCTCGGTACGGTGAAGATGCGCTTGATGTGTATAGAGAGATGAAGCACAAGGGCTTGGAGTTGAGTGTCGTTCTCTACAACACTCTGTTGTCGATGTCTGCTGATGTGGGATTTATTGATGAAGCTGTTGAAATTTTTGAAGCTATGAAAGGTTCTGAGAGTTGCAAGCCTGATAGCTGGACGTATTCTTCCATGATCACAATATATTCCTGCAGCGGCAGAGTCTTTGAGGCGGAATCCACATTAAATGAGATGTTGGAAGCGGGCTTTGAGCCTAATATCTATGTCTTGACTTCACTGATCCAGTGTTATGGGAAGGCCAACCGCATAGATGATGTAGTTAGGACTTTTGATCGACTGCTGGGTTTAGGAATAACGCCTGATGAGAGATTCTGTGGTTGTCTTCTTAACGTAATGACTCAAGCACCAGCTCAAGAACTTGATAAGTTGACCAGATGCATTCAGAAGGCTGACGCCAAACTTGGTCATGTGGTGAAGCTCCTTGTGGGCGAGGAGAACATTGAAGGTGACATCTTGCGGAAGGAAGCTGGCGAACTCTTTCATGAAGTTGGTTCTGATGTTAGAAAAGCATATTGCAACTGTTTAATTGATCTTTGTATCAAGATTGATCTCTTGGAGAAAGCTTGTGAGCTGCTAGACCTCGGCCTTAAACTCGAGATTTATACTGATATACAGTCTAGAACTCCAACCCAATGGTCTTTACATTTAAAGAGTCTCTCACTTGGGGCAGCTCTGACGGCATTGCATATATGGATAAATGACTTGTCCAAGGCCCTTGAAAGTGGGGAGGAGCTGCCTTCACTGCTTGGGATCAACACTGGTCATGGAAAACATAAGTATTCAGAGAAAGGTCTAGCAGGTGTTTTTGATTTACATCTGAAGGAACTGAATGCTCCATTCCACGAGGCACCTGACAAGGCTGGGTGGTTTTTGACGACAAAGGTTGCAGCCACATCGTGGTTGGAGTCTAGAAGCACTCCTGAGGTAGTTGCTGCTTAGAGATTGTTCTTTGTCTGGCTTACATTTTCAATACTAGCTTTTAATTTTGATAAAAGATCTGGGAAAAGGGTATAACTTATTTTGATTCTCTTTGTTTTTGTTAATCTAGATCTCTCTCTAGATTAATTTTGTCATGGTAATGCTCAAAATGTAGTTGCTATCAGATGATTTTTCCAATTTCGATTGAGCTTATGGTGCAAGATTAAAGGAGTTTTAGAATTTTCAAATCCCATAACTACTCTTTAAGTATGCTTGGTAACGTCTTATGGAAACAGCTTTAGAGGAAATCAAAATGGTGAGGGATTGACTTTGGACTTATGATAAATATTACATTTAATAATTCGTAAACATCTGCTAATTTTTTCACTAATAGGGATTTACCTAGATAAATCAGGTGCTCAAATTCTTTGACTGATGTTCCAGCATGAAATAAGTAGCTGAAATTATTAAGTTATGTTTAAATTTCATGTTCACTGAAGCCTCCAAAAAAGAGTTGATGTCACTCGGGTCTAAACTCCCAAATACCACATGTTTAGAATATGCAAAATCATCTGCATGTTCTGTTTCTCTAACATATGGAAAAACCTCCTGAATCCTATCTACATTTAATTTCGCCCTATATCTTCACAGAGGTAGCATATGACTGACAATATGTTGTAAGAGCAGGAGCCTGATTACTATTATTTTTTTATGTCTAGTTGTAAACATCCTGCCAACAAAAGTATATGAGAACTATTTGGTGCAAGGTACAAAAATAACTCAGCTTGCCATTGAAATTCATCTGGGAGTCATATTGTTGCTAATGAACTGTATCCAGTAATATTTTACTCCTAGCCTGTTGGTTCCTAAAGAGTATTTAGTGTATGCCAGTTGTCCAGATTGCTATTACTAGTGTCTTCTCAATGTTCAACCTGTAATTCTAGACACAGAATGTGAGAAAATAAAAAATACTTGAAATTGTAGTCCATTGATATGTAAAAACACTTTCATATCATGATAAAACAAGCCATATTAGGTCTTAAACGGGATGCCTGGAATACAAGCATGATACAAGCGGATTACTAGTATTGTTTCAGTTACTAACACTGTAGGAAATAAAAATAAGGAAACAAGGTGTAAACATGGACGAAACAAAAGCTAATTAGCAACCACTGAGATGCTCTTCATGTACATGTCCATACATATCACAATTGTCTGGTGCACCTACTCCTCATACCTCCATTTCTTCAGAATTGAAACTTTTTCAAGATGCTTTTGTGGCCCTAATGGATATAATGAACCATCAGAAAGGACATTGATGTTGAACCTTTATGTATTAAAATATGGTAAAAACGGTGTAACTCTAATGAGCAAGGAAAGTTAACGAAAGGTAATTACAGGTATAGGGAAATACATACCTCCTAGATGAGTTCATGTTTCTAATCTTGTCATCCACCTTGGTAGAAATTGAACTCTTATCTTTCCTCGTTGCTTCTCTCTTTGTTCTCTTATACTCCATTTCTAGGGCTTTTGCCAAAGTCTCAATCTTTTTATTAAGCATCTGTAAATGAACAAATTTGTGATGCTGGATTCAGACTGTATAAAAACCAAAAACAGTAAAGAGAGCATGCGTGCGCAAATACCAATCATACAAATCCTAAGAATTGTTAATGTTCACCTTGATATCCTCATCTTTAGTATTCAGATTACTGTCTTTTGCCTCACAAAACTTCCTCAAAATTAGGACCTCTTTCTGAAGCCGGTCATATAGAAACCCTGAAACAGTATCAGTATTTTCAGTGTTGGCCCTAGCCGTACCTTTTG